TAATTGTGAACGTAGTACCTGCTTAATGGATGCTATTGCTTTCATTAAACACCATTTGTTACATCACAGATTGTTTTATAATCATCAACTGTAGAAGTCAAATATAGGATCTTTTATCATTACCTCAAAGTGCAGCTGTCATAATTACATAAGGGTTATTAAATCTCTCTATTTATGATTTCACAGACAGACGGTTATTTTTAAATCAGCATGCAGCAGACGTCCCCGGAGTCTGACACCAACCGTCCGCTCAAGCGCTGCCGGTCGACACGGTTAGACATAGACTTGGTCTTAATCCTGTTGCGCACAAATAGAAACAAAATGACGATGACTCGAAAGACATGTTGCTCTCAAAGAAAATGCTCTCCATTCTCCTCTCTTGCACTTGAGGATTTCGAATACGTCTGGTTTAATGTGACTACCGCCAAGCCACAAACTAGGGTGCACCCTGCAAAGAAATTGCATGCCACAACTCCTCAGAGGTCTGATTTGCAGCTAACTTTGTGCTGTCCTGCCGGACGCACAGTGTTTATGGATGCATTGGTCTCTGCTGTATACTGAGCTGTTGTTGTTTACAGAGAAGGTCAGAGTGGCTCTTCCCACAGACTTCTCGGAATGGTGAAAGTTCGGAGGCATGCTGTGAGAACATCCTGGAGCATGCTTTGACTCAAGATGTCACTGGATGCTGTTTCAAAGCTGCAACAGGGGGAAAAAAAAAAAGAAAAAAAAAAGAAAGAAAAAAGTCAAAGATGCTATCCAGTCGTGTAAAAAGAAACATGGATCTCCAATACAAAATTTTGTAAAATGCAAAGTTGTTAATTTAAAAAAAAATGCTGATTGTGTTTTGCTGGCGTTTGGGCCAATGATATATCCAAGGGACTGAAGAATCAATGACATGCTTTGATTTTTCAGCTTATCAGTGATAAGTTGATATTGATGAAAACTATACCAGATGACCAAATTTTGACTTAGATTGAAATATGTGAGCTGATGTATTTGACCCAAAGTTTAATTTGGATAATCTTCTCCCATGCTCCCAAACTCTGAATTGCAAAGCTGAAGCAAAACAGTAATGATGACAGTAAGTTGGTTCAGATATTTTGCACAAATCTGTTTACGTCCGTGTTAAAAATATTTTCATCTGATTGGCATATGTCACCTTCAATAGTTATGGGATTTACCAGCAAAGTTGCACTGCATGCCGTCTGAACTGTACTCTCTAGAGTTCCCAAATCTTTTGGCTTCTGACCCAATAAATAATAGTGGAGAAGACAATCTCGACTTGTTGAATTGCAGCCCAAGTGGGGTTCCAACCTCAACAGTGGGAACCACTCGTTTAGCTTATTGGAGCTATTGGAGCAATCTCTCTGTTTGAACGATGGCATTGTTTCTGCCTTTCACTTACCAAGGCTGTCTGCAATTAGATGAAAATATAGACTGTGCAGTAGGTATGTGTGTGGCGATGCTAACTGGTGGGATTTCGCTCATTAAATGTCTGCCTGTCAATTTTGGTTTTTAAAGTTGTTTTAAAGTTCTGCAGAAAAAAAAATGTTGGTAGTTGCAAATCCTCTTTATGGAAAGCAGTGAACAGCGGAAATGATTTTATAAGAAGCTGATTTGAAAGTATTGCGGAAAATAAGTTTTCTGAAACCCCTGCAGTGTTCTAACATACGATTCAAAGGTTTTGCTGCAGCAATAAGAATACAAGTAAACAACCCTGAAAGAGAGAATTTGATTAAAAAGTGTATTTATAAAGACAGCGCAGAACAAGTAAAAATGCATATGGACATACTAAAAATATGTGATATGTGTGCAATATATTGTGTTTCCAAAGATGCGTGCATGTGGAAGGTTTGATCTTAAACTTAGAACACAATAACAAAACAAACAGAAAACTGACTGTGTTGCTGAACATGTGATAAAATACAGTGATGGATGGATGGATGGATGGATGGATGGATGGATGGATGGATGGATGGATGGATGGATGGATGGATGGATGGATGGATGGATGGATTTTGAACACCAAAGCTTATGATTAAATATCTCATATTTGCCTGGTTAAGATATTCTCTTTCTGCTTTTCCAGTCTTGTAGCTTTACCGCAAGACTTATTTTAAACTATCTTGTTTCGCTGCTTATTTTGGAGACTGTGACTCGAGGGGGAAAACGCTGCCATAAATAGGCTGCACATACATCTACACACAGGTGTCTTACAGGGACGCAGCAGACGTCTCCAGCACGCTGGTTTCAATCTGCTGAGTGGACACAACAGTCAGGCCATTTTGGGTTTTTTGCAATTGTTTCATAAAAACGCTCAGAGCCACATCTGGCACCTTTAGGACGGTTCACAGGAACAAAGACTGGCTTTGTATAAATTAGAGTTTTGTAAATAGATCAGCCATCTTATCTTTTGAGTCTGTTAATTTGTAAACAAGACAAGATGATGTTTTTTTAATTCATTGACTCGGGTAGTTAGTTACAAGCCCATGATTTGCAGGCTAACTGATTTTCTGTCCTCAAAATATGTGTATGTGATTGTCCTGATCAAAATGCATACATTTCTTTCCACTGATTCTATTTATGCTGTTATTTATGCTCTCAACATGCCCACAGAAAATTTATGAGAATGTATTTCCTGCAGACAAAGCCTCAGTGTGATGTAAATTTGAACTTATATTGCCACTGTCGACCACCTAACAGTTATTTACACCAAGAGACGCAGGAGTTATTTATGGTTTCAATTCATACTGCAACACAGATCAGTCCCAGCAGAGCTGTTGCAAAGTCCTGTGCAGAAAACATGACGTTGTGGAGCTAAATGCTATACCTTCACCCACACACTGAAAATTCATATAAAATTGTTTACCTGATTTCTGTGCAGGTATGTATCTGTTTGTCTGGCATTTATAATATAGTGGAAACAGGTGAGTTCCTCTGGTGCATGTTGGGTAATCCTATGAAATAAGGAATCATTTCTTCCATGAACTTATCCTACATTTGGAAGAAGATTCCACCCTGCTTTGTACCCAACATATTTAAAGATTTCAAAAGAGAGGAATGGAAGATAATCTGTAGATTAAAACTCCACAATGTTGTTGTCTTGGAGCAAATATTTCTTGGAGAAATTCAGAGGAGTGAACATACAGGAACATGTGATTCCCATTATCCTTCTACAGAGAATTATAAAAGTATTCCCTCCCCTTGACCGTTTGAAGTTTTCCAACATTTTGTCACATTAAAACTACAAACTTTAGTGTGTTTTACTGGGATTTCATGTCACAGAGAAACAAAAAGCAGTGGATATTCCTAATCACGCAACTAGATGCAATTCGATCCAGCCAATTGCCTTCTGAAGTCAAGTAATTGGCGGAAAAAAAGTTCAACTGTATGAAATTTCACTTTGGTGCATTTCCAGCTTTACAATAAAAGACTTAGAGGTTTGTGGGAGATCATCATGAACCAAGACACAAAGATAACAGGTTATAACTAAAGCTGTGGATGAATTTAGAGCAGGGTAAGGCTATAAACTGCTTTTCTTAGGCTTTATTCAGTGAAGAGCATAAAGAGTATAAAACAAATTCAAACCTACCAAGACATGACCAGCCACCTAAACTCACAGGCCAAGAAGTCCTTGCCAACTGGAGTAACTAGAGAGATCTGCAGCTCAGGTGGGGGAATCTATTTTCAGGACAGCTGTCATTTATAGATGACGCCCACAGCTACTCTTTATTCAATTGCTCAACTAAGCTTGAGCAATTTTGGACAGGGGAAGCAAAAGTTTCAGGCTCTGGAAAAATAGTCCAAAACTACAGCAAAAGGTAGTTCTGCAGAACAAAAACACACTTTTCAGGTTGTTATGTGTAAAAAGAATAGAGTTATAGACACACCTTTTCCTTTCACCTCACAAATATAAGCTACGTATTGTTGATCTGTCCCATTGAATCCCAGCAAAACACATTGGAGTCTGTGGCTGTAACATAACTGTACAATGGGACTCTCCATGACCACAGAGAGTTATGATTGCACCACAGCAGACGTGTCGCACTTGCTCCACTTCTGCGGAGCGGCATCTGGTCCTCATCTGGACCTGGGGGCTGGCTGGACATCCCCCAAGTAAAGCACAATGAGCGCCACTGACAACATGGCAACGCTCAGAGCTGACAGCAGCAAAACTCAGCACATGTCACTGACTAAAGCAGAGGTATGTGTGTTGATATGGAAACAAGATGTGCAGAATGCTTTTTTTTTTTTTTTTTTTTACTCAGTACGTGAAGGGCAATGTATCATAATTGCAGATGTGAAAAAGGTTAACTGTACCTAAATTATGCTAAGGTGAAAACAAGAACAAAACGTCATCCCCAGCTTGCTACATCTTGTACTTGCAAAGTAGAAATTGTATTTGTTTCTACTGACACTATTTTGAAGAGCTAAAATAATGTTCAAGATTAAAGCGTCCCAGTAAAGTTTGAGACTCTTGTGGTTGTCTGTTTCTTTCACTTTTTAAGCTTTTAGTTGCTTTAATATTAAATTTTTTATTCAGTAACCAGAGTCACTTGAAGGATTTACAAAGTCCTGTCACAACCATAAGTACTTGATTCACCTTTTGGATAAAAAAAAATAAAAAATCAAACTGCTATAATGGTGATTTTGAAGAATATATTCGTTTGTACTGAAAAGTTAGTAGACAGGGTTTAAGACACTTAGAGAAAAATAGATAAGCCAAAACAAAGAAGCCTGACAGGCCCAGCAGTTCATGGGAAGACAAAAACCTGAAGGAGAGGCTTGGTCTGTGCACTTATTTGCTTTTAGTTTTTCCTCCTCCCACAAGTTCATGTCTGCCTTTGTGTCATCATGTCTCTCAACCCACACTGGTTCAGCCTCCATTAAAATGAAAACACACAATTAGACTTGCACAAAAGTTTGTGTCATTAGCAAGCAAAATTCAGAAGACAAACTCTTCAGCCTCTGCAAGTCGGATAACTTCTATTTGTTTTTAGATTGAAGCTGCCGCGATGGATGACCACAGCGTGTCCCACAACAGCAGTCCTCAGCGCTGCGGAGGTCAGTCCAGCTCTGAGGGTCAGAGGTCAAACGTGATCAGGTGCGGTTGGCTCAGGAAGCAAGGAGGTTTCGTGAAGACGTGGCACAGTCGCTGGTTTGTTCTCAGAGGGGAGCTGCTCTACTACTACAAAGATGAGGAGGAGACCAAACCCCTGGTAAGTCTCTGAAATTATGTCAGAGATGCTCACTGAAACTTTCTTATTTTGAGTTTTAAACAAGCAAATCAAAAAAAAAAAAGAGAGAGAGAGAGAGAAACCCCCACCAATGTTATCCATGACCTACTGTATCAGCTGTGCATATTTTGGCAAACCCATCCATCCAATAGGAAATGATTCAGGCGTTGTTAAATCAGTAACTAGCTGTGAATACATAAAAAGGGTAAATGCTTAGAATGCATTCAAAAGCTTAATTACTCTAAGCTTTCATTGACTAAAGTGAAAATGCAAGGACGGTTTGTTGCACGTTAGAGTCTGCATTCTTCTAATGCCACAACATAAAAGGTGTCAGGTGAGCTCTAAGCACTAACACACACACCCACGTCTAAACTGGTGGTTCCAGATACACTGGAAAACAATAACACACAGAAGGGCGAGCAACGGAGAAAGCTGTTGGCATATTTTTGTGTAGTAGTTTCTTTGCTTTTATCACAGTGCAAATGAGAAAAACACTACACTTATTGCTATCTTCACTTAAAAAATAGTCATAATATTCAGCTCTTTATTGAGTTAGAGTAATCTCACATTGAAATGTTTTGAAAAATACAATATTTACTTTTACGTGGCAAAATAATCTAACATTTTATCAAACACCATTTGTACAGTTACAGAGAGTTGCATCTTGCGGGTCATCAAGTCTCCATGACAACAATTAGACGCAACCTACATAGCAACTAGGAATCGCAGAAATAAAAAAATAAAAAAAAAAAAAACCTCTTTTGCGGCAACCTGTTGTAGGGTTACATAAGGAAGCAGCGTGTTTGACTTGTTTCCGTAGTTGCAGCTCCAGTTAACTCAAATGTTGCAACCTACCATAATAAAAGCTTACAAAGTTATCATTCAAGCTTGGGCAGTAGTGGTGATTTATGAGGTAAAAGCAAAAATAAAAATGTATCTTTTTACTTTGAGCATTAAACTAATTATTGACCAAATTATTTTAGTAATTCTAACTGGCCTAAAAAAAACAATAAAACATTCAAAATGGTAGCATGTCTGTCTGTACAGTAGCCTACGAGTAAATATCTGATTTCATGGGTGCAGTTATGACTCTTCTATCTACATTCTTGTGCATAAAGACTGAAATTGTCGAAGGATATCCCAATTATGTCACATGTTGGCATCGTGTTGCACATTCGGCAGCATTTCAGCTGTCATTGGAATTCAATTGTAAAACCAGCCCTTCATTTATACCTTTAGCCTGCTTTTGTCTTTTCACACTCACTCACTCTTATTTACTCGTTAGGAGCTCAACGAGGGCTGTTACCAATTTGTATTTCCAACAGGCAGAATAACAGAACAGAAGCTCTTCACAAATACACAAGAGACCTCATCTTTCTCTCTTAGCTTTTCCATCCAAACAGTATGCTCCCTCTTCCAGAGGAAACTCGAGCGCAATTGAAACTTTCACGTTGCTCATCCGGACACACACTTCTTTGGCTGATTTCCTAGCGTGAAGTTCGGCCAAGCCGAAGCCACATCGGCAGTAAAAGTCTCAGAAGGTTGAATCTGCAGACCTGAAGGCGGGCTGCTGGCCAGACAGGAGGGAGAGTTATTCTTCACTGTTAGTTACGGGAGCTCTGGGTCTCGGGGCGTTCATTTATAGTGGAAGGTGACTTTATACGAGGTCTTGGTGAGGTCGCTGTCCCAACGCTGTCGCCAAAGTCGCTTCTAATGAACGCTAAAGCGAAATTACAAAACTGCTTTTGTAGCCCATCTTCCGGTTTACTCTTAGCAGATTTATTACTGCACCTGCTCGCTTTACCACCTGGAAAACATGGTTTGCTGCTTTCCTCCTCTGCCCTACTTCTCAGCCAAAGCCATAATCAACACCTGAAACTGCTACGTTTTTGCAGCGAATAGAGGTTTGTACTGAAACTAGGTCAGGTGTTGAGGTAGAGGAGCATTGAACATTCTGATACCAATGTGTCTTTGACCTCCAACTCAGAGCAGCATGGAAGGTAATAAAAGTCACATTTCTCACCCAAACATAGTATTAACCCTTGTGTTTACAAATGGGGTCCAACCGACCCCACACACGTAAAATGTGTATCATTTGCCACAGTCCTCCACGTTTGCCTCTGTCCTTGCACGCACAAGGGTTAAAACAAATGCGAGAAAAGTAATCCAGCGTCATTACTTAAGAGAAAACACGTGTAGGGCAAAGAGGAGTCTGAGCAGCACTGACTGAAAACTGTCCCATCATTTAACTTCCCAAGATCAGGGAGAGAGCAGGTCAAACCCACACGCACGAGCGCCGAAATCCGCCAAGACACACTTAATGATGGGCCTGTCACGAGCTACGAACTTGATAAAACGGAGGTGTGAAGCCATATCTAGATCAGCTATTAATTAAGTCTCTCCCCCGCTGTGACGTCTCTATTTGTTCTGCTTCACATTGCCCTAATTGCTGCCTCCCCCGGTTGGAGAAAGAACAGCTGCCCTTTTCTGTTGCCATGTGGAAACACAAAAACATGAAAACTGCAGGTACTATCTGTTCTGCACTAATCTGATAATCTTTTATTTTTATTTTTTTTTTAATTAGGGGAAAACAGCGCAGAGTCATAGAAGCTACTTCAGTGATTTATAATAATAATTTAGTTTTTATTTTTGTCAAAATGCTTTGAAATCCACTAAAATGACAACTAAAGTACTAAACTGTTTTAAAGCTAAGGAGATAGTCTGTATCCCTATAGGAATAGTACTGCAGATTTTTCGGGGAGGATGTCAAAACGGCGACTCTTTAAAACCGGGGAGGAATCCATGCCAACTCTACACTCAGCTAAATTAGCATAAACTTTCAAGAGCCACTTGGAGATTTAAATGGGAATTCAAATTCTTTTTAAAAAGACATATACAATTACTCAGCTAATAAAACGACTCTAAGAAATAATAGCATTAGGCCTAAAACTGGTGGGTTAATAAATTCAAAACGAAATTCTGGGACAACTCGAGCTTCTTTGAGAGAAAAAAAAAAAAGAAAAAGAAATCAGCCTCTTCTCCGGTTTTATCTCAAAGGTATTTTCTTATTCAATATCATTAACATATTCATTGCAGCCTTACTGCGTCCAGGGATGATTCCTCTGAGGAATTCAGATCTGCGTGGATAAGGTTATTTGAGAAGATGTGTCCTTTTGACCGCTGTGGGCCGGTCTTGTGAGAAATTCTGAGACCGGCGCACCGGGGTCCTTTACAGTGGGGCCAAACCTCTCGGAGCAACGTGAGGAATCTGAAGAATGGAAGTCAGATGGAGGTGAAGGGTCACTGAAAAGCACGCAGAGGGCAGGAGCACGTGTAGGCTCAGCATCAACATGCCATCTGCCTGCCCTCACTCGTCCGTGGAGACGACGTATGCACGCTCAAGCAGGCCGCGCGTGCTCACTGGAGATCGCGAGGCGCGCACTCGCACGCGTGCACTCGCGTTTCATCTGGCTCGAGCACACAAACAAAGACAACCACTCACGCAGCAGCAGAAATGAGATGATTATTGTAATTTAAGCCACTCAGGATTGGACCCGGGTATGCCAGCGAAGCAAGAGGGGAGTTAGACGACATTATGACGGAACAGAAGAACTCTGGGTGAATACATTAAAACAATTTAATGGAATAAGGAATCATAGACAAGTTAAAATGTTATTAAGATATTATAATTCCAGCCACAACAAGTCTGGGGATGGATAAATAATTAAAATTCACAGGACTGAGGAGTCACATTGAACTCAGACAAAATGAAAAGTAGCGACTTCTTATAATGAATCGGATCAAATCAATAATTCAGCAGCACGATGAAGCTCTGAAAGTGTTTTGCTTTCTCTGCATAAAATGGAAACTGCTTGACCTTGGCATTTAGCTGGGGGTAAATAAAATGCCACTGGAGTTGTAGGATCGTGAGTTGTGCAACAGTTCGTCTTTTCTCGCATTTGTCCGTATTAAAACAGTAACTCTGTTGTCACTTTGATGTTGACAGTCACAGAAGGCTATCCGCAAAATTTGACAGCAACATAACAAAGGCCAAGTGAAATGCTAAGAAACGAACATCCCCCGATCTGATCTGATTTTGAGCCACAGACTAAATTACTAAGTTACTAAATTCTCTTTAATTTAGTAACTGAATTCATTTTCCGCAGCAGCCTAAATACACTGTTGTTGGAAAGCCTTTTATTATCACCGAGAGACACTTCGCTTTCTTGCTGTCCATGTTTGTAGAACAGACCCTGAAGTATAATTACTGTTTTCAAAGAAACGTTGTCGGGGGACAGCTTTGTTTGTCACGCTCTGCATTTTTGTGTTGGAAGGAAACTCGCAGCAAGTTTGTGCAAGTTCTGCTTTGTCCAAAAGATGACGTGGCAAACAGTGTCAAATACACAGCCAGGTGTAGCATTTTTTTTTTTTTTTTCAGACGACGTGAATCTTATCCAAGTTATGTAACGTTGAATTCTGCGTGATATTCATCCTGCATTCCACCGGAGACATTTAAGTCACATCTTTCTGGTGGCGGCTGCTGACAATAACATATCAGCGGTGAAAGTGGGATCTTGCTTCTTCTATTCATATAGTGGAGCTATTTTTATTGGGAATATCATCAGATTATTAATTGAGCGGGACTGACTGGTCATTGATTTTAGCAAACCAATGATTTTGTTATTTTTAGTTTGAATTACAGTTGAACTCCTGCTGTAAAAAAAAAAAGTAACTTCACAAGATTCCAAGAAGAACAAGCAATTTCCATGGATTTATTTTGGTTCTACCCTTGTTGTACATTGCAGTATCAACTGTATAATAATATTTCAAATATATTTCATCCATATTTGGTCTTCCTTTTTTTGATTAAATAGAAAAAGAATAGACAGAAAGAACAATATGAAAGTCTTAGACAACAGGTTACATCAGTGGAGTTAAGGAGAAGCATTTATCTCTAAAATGACACAATTAACATATTAAAA